ATACAATCTTTTGATCCCTAAAAATTGTGTTTAATTTTTCTATTAAATTGTGAGGACGTTGAAATGTCTGACTATAATTCTGTATTCAGTTGTCCTTTTATCAGTTTTTTGCACATTTCGAAGCTCTGTGCACATGTGTTCTGAATTCTTACACACTTGTGGTCAATTGGTGTCTTTCTCCTGAAACAACCTGTTTTATCCTTGGGAATGCAGTCTTCACTCAGAAATTGACTTTCCCTGACGCTCCTGTTGTCACTGCAACTGCCTTGGGCATTGAACTGGCCAGAGCTTTGTGTATCCTCTTTTGAGCAAATTGTACTCTTATATTCAGAGGGGATTTCTGGTCCACTGAGGTAGAGATAGCAACACGCAAGGAGAAAATTCCCCTTAGGCACACAGTAGACAGGCACATTCCAGTAGAGCACAGGGCCCTGACTGAGCAGAAGTTGGAAGTGGGGTAGTCTACGTAGGTAGTTTCCAAGTAGCAGCCCATGGTATCCATAGCAGAGCTGGGAAATAATAATTTCCTGTGCAAATCCTGGCAAACACTACCATCAAGAAGATGCAGCATCACATCAGCAGTTGTTGTGTTTAGGGACATCATGACCCTCCTAGTGTGACACCTGGGGTGGAACCGTCAACTCTGCAGTGCTCTTGATAGAAACACATCACCATAGTCTCAGCATGAGGGAATGTCAGGCAGCCAGCCAAGGGACCTGTGCAGAGGAACAAGGACAGCGTTCCTGGTAGACAGCGGACAGCCACAGATGGGAGGAGACAGCGGTGTCCCGCCACTGCACACAATGTGGAGTCCTAGATAGGTCCTGTAAAAGACAGATGGGAGAAGCCCAGGTGAACTGTCCACTGTACTTAGCAGTACTGCAGGAACGTCCACTTCCTAATGTCACTCATCGTCCTTCGGATCTCTTACGTTCCTCCTGTCTGAAGAAGCCAGGTGATCAGTGTATAGGAACTCAATGACCTTCTTAAAATCTGAAACTATTTCTACATAAAAGGAAAATAAAGCTAATAAGCAGCTTCTTTGTAGGTGCAATGGTTAATCTCACCTGACAGTCTGTGCTTTGTAACTGGTGATGAATGCAAATCACTGCCCTGTGTTCACTCAGCTGGGTTCCAGCCTGTCTTCCACCCTTTGTTTGCTCTTCCCTGATTTTCCTCCTCCCTTTGGATTAGTATTCGCGTCTCTCACCCTGCTGAGCCTCTATCCTGTTGCATGTATGTTGCTGCCTTCCAGCGTGTGCCATTGGTCAGCCAGGCCTCCCTTCAGCAGCGACCCACCAGGCCACGTGTGTGCAGGGAAACAGTGCGACATTTCTGCCTTCCCAGGCTGTGTGCCGCTGTTTCCTACATTTTATTTCTGTGCTCACCGTGGACCTCACTGTACCTGGCCATTATTCTTCTTTCCATTGGGACAGAAGGTGCCTAACATGAACTCACCCTCATTGCCCTCAAGTGCACAGCCCCTGGCATTGGGCACTGCAGGGTGCTGGGTGACCATCTCTGCCTGCACCTCCACAGGGCCTGTGTCACAGGGCTGCTATCCTCTATGAAGTGTTGGTTTGACTTCATGAGTAATTGGGAGAATGATAAACTTGAGTTTTTATGACCACCACTTGTTCCATTCCTGGTGATCCTCACACTCATATCACTGCCTTCCTGGGAAGCTTTCCTGTCATCTCCCTTGCTGAGCAGCTCTGCTAAGGAGGGACACCCTGGCCACCCATGTGTCTGAGGCCATCACAAGAGGCCTCTGTGCTGACAGCAGCAGCTGGCAGGCCTGGGAGATATATATCTGTGTGACACATGTGTGAGTCAGAATCATTGCCCTGAGAGAAGGGGACCAGACACAGACCACACACACTGTGAACCCATGTTCCTGAGACTCAAAAGGAAAAGCAATTTAACTATGAATAGACCCATGGGAGCCTGGGCTGACTGTTCAAAACCAGGGGCTGGCTCCAGGGTCACAACGCTATCCCTGTGTGAGTGCTCGGCCACTGGTGCCCAGCCTAGAGCTGGCCTGGGCTGAAAGAGGGAGCTGGGACAGATCAGCACTGCCTGGCTTCCTTCCATGGTGCCTGGGTCGGGTGTTTGCCTGTGTCCTTGCAGTGTCCGTGCTGTTAAATGACAGGCCTTCCTCACCATCCCTGAGAGCTTCCCCACTCCCCAGCCTGTGTGAGTTTATCTGGGGGTGCTGGTCAGACGCTGAGCTGCTGTCAGGGGTGGAAAAGTAATAGCAAGAAAATATAGGAGCCTTGGGTTTTGTGAGACTTTTCTGACCCTTCTTTCTCTAGCCCTGGAGCAACAATTCCCAGCGAGGCCCCATCTCACCCCCTTGCCTGGGGAGTTCTGGTTTGGGTTGTGGAGACCCAGGGGTGGGAAGTGGGCTCAGCATCCTGCAGGTGGAGGTCCACGATGCTGCTAACCATCCTGCCATCCCGTGGAGGCCTGGCTGAGATCCCCCACGGGGACCAGAACCTCACTACAGCACAACCAGACAGAGCACTGCCCCACTCCAACCCTGTGGCCTGCTGTGGGAGGGTGAGGTCCAGTGGGCTGGGGTCTAAGTGAGATCACAGGAAATGGAGGAAGTGGATCACCTCAGAAAGACAGGAGCACCTGTGGCAGAAGTGGGAACCAAGCGTTTCCAGGACAGTCCACACTGTGCAGGTCATCGGGGTGTCAAAGTGAAACACACCAGCTCTTATACAAAATCTGATGAGTCCTTCCCTGTGACCATGGCCATGATGGCTCCCTGTAATCCCCTCCCTCCTGCCTCCCTGGGAGGAGCCACTGTTACTCAAAGCTGGCTATTGTGCCCCTGGATAAGAGGCAGCTGCTGAAGCCAGAGCCTAGTACCCTTCCATCTGCAGCTTGGAGTGAGAGTGGCTCCTCCCAGGCTCAGCAGACTGGGACCCTCCCTGGTCCAGTTTTTGTGGGGCTAAAGCTGGGTCCTTGGCGTGTCATATCCTGGATGTGGACCAGAAAGGTCACAGGCAGCAACTTTCATGGTGTCACTCCCCAGGGTCTGCATGATGAGGATCACAGGGTGCCAGGGCATCACACTGCCCGCATGGTGCTCACCACACAGGTGGTGCAGAGTAAGAGTCCTGCAGCCTCCAAGCTGGCTGTCCAGCAGCCTCCCAGGATCCCTCCTCGGTGTACTCCAGGCTCTCTAGGCACAGGAGTGCCCGGGACAGCATACAGACCTCCGCAGCGGGAATCAAGTGGAGAGCCTGTGGCTGGCCACCAGGAGCGCCTGACACCTGGGTGGAGCACAGGAGCTTCCTAGTAGCTCCTAAGGAAGGGGAGCAGGTCCTGCCACACTGTGCAAACTCAAACAGAGCCAGGCCACACCAGCAGAGGCCCAAGCAGTCCTACAACATGTAGGTGGCTGAACAAGATGACCAGGATAGCCAGGGGTTCTCAACCCAGGCTTGAGGGTCACCCAGCTGCTTGTGGAGATGCCAGGGATGGTGAGGACAGGCCAGAGGTGCTGCACAGTCTCATGCAAAGCTGGGGTTGTTTAGCCAAAATGCCCACAGTGTCCAGTTGAGAAGCCCTGCCTTATACCCTCATGCTGGCAATGAATTTTGGGGTTTGCTATGGGGGAAAAATGACAAAAACAAAGAAAACTTTCCACTAAAAAACAAGGATAAAACCTTTCTGAGAAATGAGTAAACTGTGGGAGGCAGGGTCATGGGTGGAGAATGGGATGGCACCCTGAGCAGACTCTGGGGTCCCACATTGGCCAAGGTCAGGGCAGAGTGGCAGAAAGCCCCAGGAAAGGAAGTGGGCTGGTTGCAGCCTTTGAAGGTCTCACTGGCCAAGGCCTGTATCAGGCTTCTGGGGCCCACATGCCATCAGGGGGGAAAGTTCCCTGCAATAACCACTCCCCCAGAGAATCTTCCCCCAGTGGAAGCTGGCTGGCTACACACCCTTGTGGGTTGTATGTGGCTGCTGGGGCACATGCCCTCATCTTGTCCTCCACTGACAATGCTACAGCAGGTGGCTGAGTGCTCTGTTGCTATTCAAAGCTACAAAAGGCTTTCTCAGAAGCCCCCTGAGGCATATGGTGCCCATCTTCTGGAAACCGATGGATGCAGGAATTTCTGCACACATAGAAACAAATACCACCAACAGCCAGGACTTTGACCAGGACTTTCCCAGTACCCTGACGCCCACCATGCAGGCTGCAGCTGCTCCCTTGGGCTGGGTGGGCCCCTGCAGGGAAAGTATGTACAGGGACCCAGAAAGGAGCATGCAAGCAGCTGAGAGGGCTCCACTCAGTTTCATTCATCAGCAGAAGACATGGGACACGCAGAACAGACAACAGGGGACACATGCTGGCCAGGCCCTTGGCCTTGGAGTGGTTTCCAAAAGCCGAGTGAAAGAAGAAGGAAGGGAAAGGGGAGGCCTGGCCCATGCAGCACACCCTTCTGGCCACAGAGGGCCCTGCTCTCTTGGCCCTTCTGGGGTGTCCTTCTGTCCCCTACTGAGTGCTCAACCTCAGTCTTATGCACACTGCTAAGCAGGCAGCTATGGCCAGACATATCACAAGTTTTGAGAGAGAGAGTTTTATAAAATTAATACTTGTAAGGCCTCTGTTATGCCTAATTTAAATCCATGCCTCAGCTTAAGGTCCTTCCTACTTAGCTTAATATATATTTTTTAAAAGCTTTTGCATCCTCACAATGAAAGTTGAGAGCAAAGCCAAGTATTGAACTGAGACTAGGACTCACAGGGTAAACAGAGCTCAGAGACCATAATCACCTAAAGCAGGACAGGTGTCAAGGTTTGTGTCTGGATGTCCCCACAAAGCCTCATGCAGGCATGGAAGTCACTGCATCTAGCATTTGTGATTGGTTCATTGTCTAATGCTGGGATTGGCTGTGTGAGTGCTGCACCCACCTTGGGGCAAGAAGCTTGTATACAATATAAGGAAGAAGGCAATCTCTTCCCTTTTTTCCCTTTGCTAGCTCTTGTCATCTTTGGTACCTGCCACCACCATGAAGGGTTGCCCCTGTGCCACACCACCCTGCCTTGGAGCCAGCAGAGTACAGACTGAAACCTCCAAATACTGTAAGCTAAATAAACTTTTCCTTTCTTCACTTTGGGTGTCAAGTATTTTGTCTCAGCAACAAGAGAAAAGTAACCAAGAGAAGTGGCGAGAGAAAGAATCAATGTGTGCTTTGTGGCTCCTTTCACTGAGGATTACAGGTTAACTCCCACTTCTCAAAGACTCAGAAACCACAAAGTGAGGGGCTTGTGACCCTGCCTGATAACACTGCTGGGTGCCAGGGCCCCTGCCCACTGAGGACTTTGTCCAGGGATGAGCTAGCAACATCATAATCACTAGCAACTGTAGGAAGCAGCCCTTGAAACTCAATGCCAAAAGAGACCAATAAATCTAACCCTTAGTAAGTACAGGTGCAAGACAAAGACATCAACTGGTACTTCACAAATGGGTATTTTTCTAGTTTTTCATGATAACAACAATAAAAGATTGCACCTGGGCAGGAACTGTGCAGCAGCTCAGATGCTAGAGATGGATCTGAGGAGCTGGAGCAAATCCTGGAGGTTGTAGGGAAAAGCCTTCATAGGGAGTGAAATGCATCACATGCTATCTCTGCTAGATTCATGTCTCAGGAGATTACCAACTGAATTTAGCAAGGACCTTAAGAAAGGTAGCAATACTCCTTAACCAAAGCAGTGAAAGTCTGTGAGCTTAAGACTCAAGGCAGAATCCTGCTTAATGTCATCGAGCACTAATCTTATCACTCTCTCCACACAAGCATGTAATCATATATGTATGTGTCACATGCAGGAGCACACACACGCACATACACGCATGTGCACATGCACACACACACACAGGCTAGTGTCCTTAAGAATGTCTTGTGCATCAGCTGAGAAGATAATGAGATTCATTATAACGCCCATTCTCGTTGACTTTTATCTACTTTTGAAGACCTACAATGTCTCCAATGGTTTGGTTTTGTCGGTTTTATTCTTTACGGTTTTGTTCAATTGTATAACAACTAATGATATAGGCAATTCTATTAGAAATAGCGGGAGGCATTATGGTAACCATTGTTGATCACCTTGTATTATGTTTTTATATTATCTATTATGTCCACCCTTTTGACTTGACCGATTCTGTTCTGTTATGTCACATTTGGTTTTACTCTCTACCAAAAAAGCAATAAGAACCGTGGGAGCAATGAAACCCAAAATATGTAATAGTCATTGTACAAAAGAGAGGAAAAGAAAGTGCTCTAAACTATATAACTGCATGTATATTTAAATGTATAAGATAGAAAATGATATCACAGAGTTTTATTGGATCATTGAACAGAACTGTTTGCAGTATCATTGTTGGAATGTCCACTCTACAAGCTTTAATTTTGTGACTTGAACAATTATTTCTAAGATGGCAATATGTAATCCATTAACTAGTGATTTCCTACTGCGCATTTTTTTCTCCTGTAAATCTGTATAACTTGTACCCCTTCACTGTTTTTTTTCTTTCTTTTCTTTTCTCCTTAAATAAAATAAAAAATTTAAAAAAAAAAAAAAAAAAAAAAAAAAGAATGTCTTGTGCACAGTCAGCCAGGCCTGGTGGCACACACCTGTAATCCCAGCATTCTGGGAGGTTAAGGTGAGAGGACTGCAAGCTTGAGTCCCACCTGGCCACTTAGGAAGGCCTTGTCTCAAAATTAAAATAAAGTCAGACAGTCTTAACTTGTGCATAGGAGAGGAAATCCTGCCAGAGGAGTTGCTTAGGTACAGTCCAGAGGTTGGGAGCTGCCGTTTTCATTTACCAATAAAGACTCTCAGGTTGTGATGACCTCTGCTCTACCCCCACAGGCAGCTTTGAACAGGGTAGATGAGGTCTCAGAACAACAGCCCCGTCCTGAGTCCCTGCTTCTTTCTGTAATGCAGTTCCAGCTGGTGTGTACACAGAACAATATTTAGATACTTTGAAGCCAGGCATGGTGGCACAAGCCTGGAATCCCAGTACTCAGGAGGCTAAGCCATGAGGATTGTTATGAGTTCAAGGCCAGCCCTGCACTAGAAAATCAGACCCTGTCCCAAAAAGCAAAAAGCAAAACCAAAGAAAAGAAAAGAACAACAGAAACCTTGGGCCTGCTGTCTGTGCCAGGCAGCCTGGCTTCACACGCAGCTAGAGGCCCCGGGGTCCAGGCTGCACACCCAGGATGACGAGTAGGACAAGAGGACAACAGACTTTCAGGCCAGAGGAGGTTTAAGCACTTCCTTCTCTTCCTGTAAGAAAAGGATTTTCATTATCATTAAAATGGTAGTTTTTCAGAAGGAGCCAAACAGGACAGATTAGCACCTCCTGGTGGCACAGGTCTCTTCCAGGAGAAAGGGGAAAAACCAAGAGAGAAAAAGAGAACGCAGTCTGAACACAACTAGTTAGAACAAAGACCTTAAGAGACCAACGCCTGGGCAGATGGAGATCCACAACGCAAGGCCCACCTGGCACAGGGGCAAACACTGCCGTCCAGCAAAGGAGCAAACCTCCAGACCTTGCGTCTGGCCTCAGCCTCAGAGCTCACAGAGCCGCACTCACATGCCACACAGGGCACTGCCAGCCTCCCCTGCAGCAAGGAGATGGTGGAGTTACTCAAGAGCTAAGAAATGATAAACTTAATACCATACAGCTAGGAAAGCCTGACATAACATTCTCTTGCAAGTGACAGAAATCTTCGCCTCTTGCCAACACACCCCAAGGGAAATGGAATGAGGAAGAACTTGAGCCCAGAAGCACCATCCTGTGGCCAGATTCCAGCTGTCTAGTCACCAGGAAAGGTGGAGACGGTACAGGAGAAAAATGTCAGAGAGGCCAGGCAGATTGTACCACAGCCCTTCCTCGGTGCCCAGGGACTTTGTGGAAGCAGACTGCCAGACCCGGAGAAGTTTAAACAGAGCCAGCATGTTAACTCACTAGTTTTTACAAAGAGGAAAAAAGTGATAGTAAAGCCAAAGAGAAGGAGAAACCTTAATACAATAGCACCTACTGACTCCCAACTTTCCTTCAGGAAGTATCCCCACCTGGCTTAGCCAGGCTTTCCCAGTCCACTGGAACATAATGGAAGAGGAGGAAGAGGAGGAGGAGAAGGGGGGGAGGAAGGATAATCTGTTTGGTGTCCCTAAGATTCACTTGTCTCTATTATTTAATATAGACACACAGCACCAAGATTCTGGTGTGCAAATAGGCTTGAAGAACATCGGCTGTTAGGAGCCACTGAAAGGAAGAGAATAAGGCAGCATCTCCTGAGAATCAGCCATGCTGGAACTTGGGGGACCCACCAAAAAAGCAACGAGCCATCCTTACTGCTAAGCACTGAGAGCTGCAGGCTCACCAGGGGGGAAAACAAGTCAGTGTCTCCTGTGGGCCTACGTGCATGTGGGCCTAGAATCAAACATCCCACTCTGCACGCTGCCCCACCCATTAGTCACTGGATGGTGTTGAGGACAACCTGCTTTGATAGCAACTATGATACATAAAGCAACTAAGTGCTTGTATGTTTGGTTTATTATGCTGACCTGCAGCCAGGGGTCTTAGCATCTCTTGGGAGGATGACTGTATGCAATATGGCAAATAGGGGGATTTCCTTCTATCTTGTCTTTGAAGGCAAATATTGCTTTCACTCTTTTGCTTTGTTCTGATTGTTTTGCTGTGTTCAATATTCTGTTTGATTGGTTTTATATTGCTCAGTCTTTGGTATGATTTTTATATACCTGATTGAATGGGCAACTATTGTGAAGAAAACAAGGCATACTATGGTAGCTATTATTGCCATCCCAGTATCCTGCTCTGAAATTCTGTACCAATTTCACTGCATTGTCTTGATTTGCTTTGTTTTGTCTTGTTTTGCTATATTTTACTATCTTTAAAATGAAAAATAAATAAATATACATATAAAAACTGGAAATTGAACACATGTACAGGGCAGATGCAAGCCTGGGGCAAGATAAAGGCTGAGGACACCTGGCTCCAGCTCCAGTTATGTAAGGACGGTAGCCACAGGCATTTCACCCCTGTACTGAAATGCAACATGAGGGTCTTCTCCTAAGATACTTACCCTTGTTAACATCATTTGCTACTTGCAAAGTCTTTGGACCACCCCCAGATCTGTTCATTTGCCTGGGTTTTCTACTCTAACCCCCTAAGTAAACATGGGTGACCCAGAGACACTCCCTGTCTTAACCACTAGAGTCCCTGAAATCTGTAGAGGGCTGTGATCCTCCTGGAGCCCTAAAAGCATACCACTTACCTCATTTAGGTTAAGCCTTCACTGTACACTCATTTGGGGGATATTGGAGATCTAGGCCAGGTACCTGATAACTGGTGCCTGGAACAGAAACCTGAAACCCTGGACTAGGAATTGTAGCCTGAAGAAGTAAGCCCACCCTGAGTGGAAAGTCTGGGTAAGGAGGAGGTCTTCACAGGATGAAAAACCTCACCGGGGACACCAGGAGAAGAGAGGGAAGAACAAGGCTGAGTCTTCCTGCTGTGAACAAGCTGTTTTATCCAACAGTAAAACCAGAGCCAGGGATGTAGCTCAGTGGCTGAGCATCTGCCTGGCAAGCTCAAGGCCATGAGTTCTATTTCTAGAAACAATAACAAAAATAGGCAAAAGCGTTCAGCGGAGGAGCAAAGGTATGTATGGCTGCTCTAAGGCCTGCTTAAAGGTCCGAGGGTTTATGTGCCAAACAAAAGACCTAGAAAAAGGTTAAAAGAAGTAACCAAATATAATATGTGGTTTCCTCAGATAGGCACTATACATATTCATCATTGGGAACGAGTTGAAAAAAATCTTAAAAAGGCACGTAATAGGGGAAAAATCATTTCCCCCTAAGAGGTTCTCAGTTTGGAACCCACTTCATTCAGTTTCAAGTCTGTTACAGAGCGCTTACTCAGTGAATTCTGATTCAGACATGGACAGGGTAAGAAGAAACAGCAGGGGAAGGGACACTTCTCATTTGCACCGACAGGGGAGAGAAATGAATAGGTAGTGAAAGACAGATGGGCTTGAGAGAAGCCAGAGACACAAACAGGCTACGAGAATTCAAAGGGAAAACTGGCTTACAATAACCAAGGGAAAAAAGTGTCTCTATCTTACCAGTTGTTAGGAATGGGACAAATACATTCTAAAGAATCACAAATGTATATGCAACTGTTTATTGTATGTTGGATTCCAGTATTTACTCTCCTTTTGTAGATTTTGATTAAAAGGTGTCTTGATGATTATGGGCTTGTTGGGATGGCCACAAGGAAACTGGCTTGGTTCAACACTTCAAAATCAAATCCCAACTAGAGCAAGGACAAGGACGTAAAGAAACAAGGTTGCTTGTTTTGCTGCAAGGGAAAATCAAGGTTACAGTTCAACCTACTCAAAACACTGTTCAAATCTCCCCGAATTCTTGCAGTGCTCAATTTGTTATTCTTCCCTTGAGAAAAATTGGGAAATCTGTAAATTAAAAAAGGGTATCTAAAGGTTTTGGATCTTCTGATACTTATTGGGTTCCACAGATTAAGCAGGCCAATCCTAATATACAATTGACAAGTAAAGAAAAAGCATTTAAAGGGCTTTTAGACAGAGGAACAAGTGCCTCAGCTATTGCCCAGCACCGTGGGCCTGTGGCTTGGCCTCGGATGTGACCACTACAGCTCTACAGGTCTGAGCAATGTTTCTCACCCTAGTAAAAATGCTAAATTGATTTAGCCTGGAGGGATACAGCATGCCTCTGTTGCCATATGCAATTGCCTTACTTTTGAGCTATAAATTTATGATCAATTTAGAATCACAGCCACAAGGGTGTGGAGGAAAATTTCTTCAGTGGGTGAGAGAGACATCCCAAGATTTGATTTCTAGCCTTCAGGAGCTAACGTCATTTCAGAAATTTGCCTTTAAAAGTACATATAAATGGTGTCAGGCACAGAGAACTGTTGCTGGCCTGGCCTGGCCTGGCCTGGCCTGGCTCTGTGAGGTGGGACCATGCCTTGGAGTTGGGGCTTACAGTCCTGCCTCCAGTATGCTGAGGAGTGAGCACCACCAGGGCCAGCTATGCCTTTCAATGGCTGGCCTTCTGGCAGCAGCACAGCACTGGGCCCAGAGCCGGGAAGATGGAGGTTCCTGAAAGGTGGGACCCAGCTCTGGTCAGCCGGAGCCATCTCGGTTTTTCCAATCACTGGCATATGAACTTTATGCATCAAAAGTTTACACTGCACTGGCCCTGGGGTCCCCGATAACAGTGGGGCCTCCAGGCCAGAGCAGGAACACAACCTGTGTCACCACAGCAAGAGAGAGCCCAAAGTGCCTAAGTAGAAAATGCAGTTTTCTTTTTTTCTCTATACCTTACCACAAAAATCACTTATAATCTTCAGGTCCATAAATAATTAAATGTGCTCACAATTTAAATTTCAAAAAACAAGAGGGAGAGTTCACCTCATAATAGATTTCACTTGTCAGAAAATACTATCTAAAATTTTTAAAATTCTAATAAAGATGTAGCTACTGCAATAGAAAGATAATATAATCAAATAAAAGCTAAAAAGTCCATTGGAAAGACCTTCATACTGGACATTAAAAGCACCAGTCCAGTGCTAATGTGCGGTTGAAGGTGTGCTTGTGTTTTTCTGGAGAACGCTGACTGGCCTATCTGGGTGCCAGAGTCTGGCTGTATCATGGACCCGAAAGCACAGAGGTGATTCCACCTCTCCAGAAGCTGCTACTCAGTCCTATGACAGTGATGCCTCAGAAACCACACAACTGATGGAAAAGGATGAAACTAAAATGAACCTTAACTGACCTAGGATGCTCAGGAGATGGTATCCAAAAAAAAAAAAAAAAAAAAAAAACTAAAGGTCTAAATAGGTGTTGAGTGTATAAAGATCACCAAACTGAAACTTTAATGAAAGAAAGGGACACACGAGTTACTAGTATTCTAAAGATAAAATATAAAAATGTTAATTATCGATAAGATTTTGTCTTTACTCAATCCTTTTAAATGTGAGTTCTCTGCTAATTGACCTATAAAAATTGGACTAGTCAATTTATAGTTACAAATTCTAAAATTGTAAGCAATTATTGTAATTCAATTTGGCTAAAAATATATTTGCATTTTGATGTGTAAGATGTTTGTCAGTCTGTCTGTGTATCTGTTGTCTGTTCACCCAGTCTACTTAAGGAGTTGTTGGGAGTCAAATGAACTAGTGATCATTCATGCATATGGAGTCCAAGCACAAGTGCCATACAGGAGTGCCCAAGTGGCACAGAGCACCTGACAAGTGCCCTGAGGGCACGGGGTGATGGAGGTGAACAGGTGCTCCAACACTGAGAACACAGCGTGTAAGAAGTGAGCCAGCTCATCAAGGGGGCATGATACAAGTATATAAATAGCCCCTGAGGAACTTAGAGGGCTTGCACAGACCCCAACAAATTGTGTGCCTGTTTCTGTGTTTGTTGAATCTGTACAAATCGTTTATGAAATCGTCTATCCATGTTTGTCCATTTGTACACTCTGTAAACAGCTGTTCCTTTTATTTTGAGCTCAACAATTTTTTTCCTTTTTCTTTTGAATTTTTGGATCACTTGACCAAAAGTTGACTGGAGTTAGAGATTTACAAAGCTTAGGTTGCCACCTGGTCCAAATAACCCAAAGACCGGAAATACAAATGTAATATAAATTGTTGTTTATTATGGATTTCAGAGCCCCATTGTTTAAAAAATTAATGGGTTAAATGTTATGATTGGGTTTTTCATCAGTCATCAAAAATAAAAATAAATAAATGAAATGAATAAAAATAAAAACTATATTTTATTAAGATGAGTAAACAAAATCCCTTGGGGTTGGGATTATTGGATAGGACTCTGACTGACAAATAAGAAAGCAGCTGCCTGTTAACTTTTTTAACCAGCTCTTGTTTATTGAGCGGAGGCCTGAGTGATCCACAGCCTTATGGGAGACAGCCCGACTAAAGTTATATAAAATATATTATTATAATATGTTAACATTGATCATCATCAAAAGAAATAGTACAGTAGGGTGTCTGATTTTAAAATGTTCAGACACAAAAGTTTCATATGGCTGTGACAGACTGTTATTAGCCCCATGGTATATTAATGTATGGAGGCTCCCATATATGCAGGTTTTCCAAAATGTAAAACAGGGGTTGTTTGTGGTAACAAAATTTTGTTTCATATTCAAACCTTTGCAGGTACCAAAAACTTATGAGATTCACATTCCACTAAAAGTCAGTAAGTTAGCTCAAAGCGTTCATGTTTTAGATAAGGATGACTGACTAAAAGGGGAACTTTATGTCAAATAAAAGTTCAGATATATTGCAAAATGCCACGATAATAATGTTATATGTGGTTTTGGCTTCTGATTTTCTGTGTAAAATATATAACTGTTAACATTGTATACATATTCAAATGTTGAAATATCCATGGATAATAGAAACTAAGTTTCATTTAATGTTCTAAGGTGTTTCATATTTAGCTAAGACAGCAATGTTAAGCTCACTGCCTCTGATACACTATATTGTTATCAATCTTTTCTTCTGGATGTTCAACAACTAAAAGACCAAAAATCAGAGACAGATGGACTAAGAAGACAGCCAATGTTTTGGTCCCAGCTCTTCAAAGTCAATGAGGACCCAGGACACAAAACCACCTCTGCCTGTGTCATCCACAGATACTCAGTGAGTCCCTGGTGTTTTGGTCAAGAAGATTATGAGAACACAGAGTAAAACAGTCTTGGATGAATGGTGTGCCTAAGGAGAGTCACCAGGAGAAAAAAAATCTCCCAAGCTTTCATGTAAAGCACCTATATGATTATACAGAGAGAGGAGGAAACAGCAAGTAGAAAAAAGCTAACAAGAGGCTCTGGAGGTCTGTTAATAATCTCCCTGTTTCTTGAGTTGGGCACTACTGACATAGGTGTGCTCACTTTGTGATGATTTGTGGTTTGGACACCTTTATGTGAACATGTCACATTTCAAAAAACTTATGCTTAAAATGTTCTGGCTGCATTATTAAAAGACTACATTTTTTCCCCACATAATGATCAGATGTAGTGGCACACACTTGAAATCTCAGCACTATGAAGATAAACAGGCATATGGTTTGCAAGAGTGTTAACTGTCTTTTTCTTCCTTAATTTCCTAACTGCATTTTTAGATTATGTAATTATTTTTCTGCTTTCCATACACAAACATACAAATTATTCTGCAATAAATTTCACCTAGTGGCTGATTAACTTAAAAAGAGAGTATTTTTTAAAAAAGTATTCAAAGGCAGACACCTAGGAAAACAAGACTGATAAAAAAAACTGGTCAAAAACATCAGCCAGGTGTGCTGGTGCACTCCTGAAACCCCAGCAGAAGGCAGAAGGATTGCCTCAAGTTTGAGGTCAGCCTGCGCTCCACATTCCACATGGATATAATGCCAACATTAAAGTGAAAGAGTAAAACAAGAGAGTACTTACTTCTCAAATTCTCTTTCAATCTTTTTGGCAAAGTATTACCAGTGGAATATAAAACCTATTCAAGAAAATGGTGCTAAACACGATTAAAAAATGAATTATTTTAAGGAGCCCATATTAATTTGCACACGTGTGTGTGTGTGGTGATGGCACTAGGCCTTTCTAATTTCTTAAAAATTTGATTACTGTAGAAGGGATTAAACTCTACATTAAACTGAGAACATCCCAGCCCTTTTAATTTTTATTTTGAGACATGGGTTTGCTAAATTGCCCAGGGTATCTAATTTGTAACCCTTCTGACTCAGCCGCTGGGATTACATGCATGAACCACCACACCCAGCTAACAGCCCTTATTAAAATTCCACATCAGAGTTGGAAGCTGTAGATCATAAATTTCAATTTTTCTTATAGAAAGTTTCTCCCTAAACATTCCTTGAAAGGCAATTACTCAGTCTCTATCACTCATAAAATCAAATACATATCAGATTTATTAATAAAGCACAGTATAGAACTAAAGTTTCAGAATTTGCATTTGAAGAAAAAAATTAAAATCAGAAATACTTATGTTGACTGGTCTTTGATATAAATTTATGATCCAAATTTGAGTGGCTCCAAGTGTCATATTTCCTTAATCCACTCATTCTCCCATTGTCACAAAACTCCCTTTTTCAGAAATTACACATTGCTCTTCCATCCATATTCTCAGTCGATGATCCTGACTCTGGTTTCACAATCAGCTTTCACCTACTACATTACTAATACCCCACTTTATTTTCTGCTGATGAACATTCACAACTTAACACCTGTTATCACACTGAAATTGTTCATTATCAAGTACACCAATGACACACTGCTAAAAAGAAAGTCAATTATCACTGGAACCATCAACATCACCTCACACAGCTAGCTGGCCCATCTTCCCTGGTGAGGAAATATTTTTTTCTGGTTTATCCCCTCCCCTACTACTTCACAGACAGCTCCTCATTCCCTGCTCTTGATCCTTCCTCTGGCATGTTAACCCGTGAGTACGCTAAAGTTTAGGTTTAGAACTCTTCTCTTTGCTAGGCGTACTCACTTCCTTGGTAATCTCATTTAAACACATAGAGTTCATATCTTAAATGTAAACTTCAGGATTTTTCATTTCAGTTTGAACTTTCCCCAAAATTCCTAAAAGATGTATTCAAGTGCATATTCAGTGCTCTCACCTCACATTTAACATTACTACAACTGAATTTCTTATCTTTATTCTGAATATTGCTTCCACCCACAGTCTAATTTTTTAATTTCAGAAATGGGAATTTTGTTCCTCTAACTGCTCTGCTCATACCTTGTGGTCTTCTTGATCTGTATTTCTCTTATACTTTTAACTTCTAATCAGGGAATCCTACTGTACCTACCTTCAAGACCTAACTACATCTTACCAACTTCACTTTAATGTTTGTCTTAGCATCATCTCTTATCTGGATGACAGCAACAGGCTGTCATCTAACTTTGTACTTTCTAGACTTTAGAGGCTATGAACACAACAACTACACTGTTAAACCACACCATATCTTTGTTCAAAATTTTATGGAACCAATTTTCACAGACTAAAAGGCTGTGTTTATAATGGCTTCTAAGACACTATCCAAAGTGCTCCTACACAAATCCTTATCTCCTACTATCTTTTTACCTATTTAGTTCCATACTTAAACCTGAAAAACCTTATTTAAAGCTGGATGTGGTGGCATGCCTGTCACCCCAGCACTTGGGATGCTGATGCAGGAAGATCACTGTGACCTCCAAGCTAGTTTGACCTATAAAGTGAGTTCAAGGCCAAGCTAAAATGCATAGTGAAACTATGTCTTAAAAAGACCAAGAAAAGGGGGACAACAAAAAACCTTATATAAAAACGCAGCCCCTCTCCCTCTCTTCTTTAACCTGGTCCCCATAAAGATTCTAAGGCTGCTAGTTTTTTAAATTTATCTGTTTCAGAACAACTTTTAGAATCAAATGCTGTCCTTTGAGTATCAATTATATAATGTACAAAGAAGGCAAAGAAAACTTACTCCTTTAACGTGCTCAAAAGTGACATTTTTCATCTGAACAGGATCTACTGCAGAATCAAGCCCGGTAGTAGTCCGGAAGCGGACTAAATGGAAGAAAACAGATGTTAATATTTAACAGATTAACAAAATTTCAATCATCTTAATTTTTAGATGTAAGAAACCAAAGCCTCCAAAATTAAACATCGGAAAAATCTCTGTTCACATACACCGAAACAAAGTACAGAACAGAAAATAGGTCTTCTGATTTCTAGATCATGTTCAAATAGCAAGTGATTCACATTAAAGACATATATTTTTGTACTTTCCTTTAAAACCAAAAATTATTTTCCTGTTCTTGGACTAATAATAGAAAGCTTAAAATCAATGGTTATCAAATTTCAGTATGAATTTTTGAAAAACCACTTGAAAACTGTGTTAAAATGCAAATCTTCAAAACCGTGCTACACACTAATAGTTTGCAGATTTGAGAAAGAGCCCAGGAGGTTGCATTTTTAACAAGCACCTTCAATTATTCTGACACAACAGGTTACAGATCTACATGGTGAAATATATTGCCTTAAACACAGCATAAAAACCCGGTCCATTCATTTAATTAAAAGAAGGAAAGAAATGATTTCACTTTTGAAGTATTCTTCAATAATGACATCTTTAAGCATATGAGAGGAAGAGTTTGGTAGGATAAAATACTTCAAAGCTACCCTGAGCAACTGTTACAAAGTTTTTAAAAATTGCTCCCCAGGTCAAGTGGAACAGTTACAAATGAGTACAGTGATTTCTAATAACTTCATGAAACTAAAAGATTGCCATTAAGACATAGTGAAATTTAAAGGCAAAAGAAAGAAATGCTTGCTCGGTATGGTGGTACATGTGTGTAATTCCAACATTTTGGGAGGTTGAGGCAGGGCGATCTCAAGCTCAGGCCTACCTGGACAACTCAAGTGAGACTCTGTCTCACAGTAAAAAGGACTGTGGATACAGCTGAGTGCAGGTCTTGGGTTCAATTTCTTAGACAAAAACAAAAAAAATTTCTAACAGAAGAAATGCCTAACACAACAGGAACACACAAGTGGGAAAATACATATATAAAACAGTAATTCTAGAATGGACACTAACAGTTTGAGCCTTTTAATGAACTGTTTAAGGATCTTAAATAATTACAAAGAATGAACATATGGTAAAAACTGAATGATAGCTGAGAAAGTAATTAGAACCACCTACATGTGGTATTTATAACTGTATTTCAGAACTGCAAACTGAAAAGATACTGGATTCATCTGATTAAGAAAAAATTCAATTTATGGGCTTGTCTTTGAAGCACAAGACTGCCTTATATTGTTATTATAACATCCTACATGATGCTAAAATTTGATCATCCCACATGTATCATTTTCTAAAACCCTAGAAAACTAACCACTAGGAATGAAAGGTCTTGTAATGCAATCCACCAGCAGTTCCTTACCAGGTGCCACACCCACGAACCCCCAGAACCACAAGCTAAAATCAACCTCTTTCTTTTAGAAAAAGTACTCAATAGTCAGCCTTGGGTATTTCATCATTGAAACACAAAAAGCCTACATAATCTACAAACAGTGAAAAGGAAAAGAATATTTAAAGAAATAAAAAAGTTGCTGGGGATTTAGCTCAGGGGCACACGTGCCTGCCTGGCAAGCACGGGGACATGAGTTTGATTCATTACCACAAAAAAAAAAAAAAAAAAAAAAGAAAGAAAGAAAAAAGTTAACATGGCAGATAAATAAAAGCATCCTTACCAGATAAAAATGGATTTTTTAAGAGTCCATAAATGCCAAACAGAAGCAGAACAAAAAGAATTAAACGAGTTCGCCTTAAAGAATCTGGAAGAGAGAGAGAAAGGCTTAAGCTGAATACCACCAATGAGATATTGCAGCTAAACAAAATGCAAGTATCAGGATACTGATAATTATACTTTTATAATGTGCAATTTTGGAAGCTAGCATTCTTGTGCACAGCCACAGCCTTTCAGCATCTTCCTCAAAACTTCACGAAACCACATATGCTTTCTGTTCTTGACTTATCTCTTGAGAAAGTAAACTGCCAATATTTCTACTCAAACATAGTTTAACTTATAATGGAATACACCCATGTAAGAAGATGGATGAATTTTTGTTTTTTGAGACAGGATCCCACTATTTAATTGCAAGCTGGCCCTGAGCTCACTATGTAGCCCAGGCTGGTCTCAAACTCTTAGTTATCCTCCTGCTGCAGCCTCCTGAATGCTGGGAAACAGGATGAATGATTTCAGAAAAGTCATTTGTAATAGTTTAAATGTAGGCCTATGACATCTTTTCAGTTATTTTTCTCAAATCAACTTACCATTGGTTTTTTGTGTTAATGTTTGAGCTTTCAGAAAACCCTCTGCAAAACCAGTTTTAAATGCATCTTGATGAGCTTCAGGTATGTTTTTCGTTTTCATGAGTTTGTCCAAACTCTCAACATCTGATCCTCTGTCCCGCAAAAGAAACCCCTACATGCATGAAATAACACAACAGTATTTATTGGTCAACTGTACAGACAGGGATAATACTCATTTATGTCATGATCACCCACTAAAAATTAATTGCAAGTCTAAAATTTCATTTCTATTGCCAATGTGAAGAAATTAAGATTCAACATCAAATTAATCAACTGACCAGGATACTAATTCTAGATCCCACACGCACACAAATCAATTATTAACATAAAGAAAGTGTCATTACTCTGCACTACACTATACTGAAAACACTGCCACATAATGCTTAGGATTATAATGGTCTGATATTCACCGTACTTTATCTCTGCTGGAGGAAAAATTTCATTACCTTATTAAGATTAAAGTATTATTCTGCATGGCTAGGCGTAGTGGCATGCACCTGTAATCCCAGCACTCAGGAGACTGAGGCAGGAGGATCATTGTGAGTTCGAGGCTAGCCCGGACTACAAAGTGAGTTCAAGGCCAGCCTGAACTGCACAGCAAAACCCTGTCTCAAAAAGACAATAAAATAAGAAAATAAAATATTGCCCTGCACATACTAAGCCTAGTTCTAAAAATATAAAGATAATTAAGTCATTCTTCTTAAAGTTTCTAGCCCACTAGGAAAAAATATATAAATATTTTCTTAAAAATTGGTTTTGGCAGTGTGGAGCTTCCTTAAAAAACTAAGATTGGTGGGCCCATTCAACCCAGTTATTCCCCTTCTGGGTATCTTCCCAAAAAGAATTTAAAACATCATACCACAGAGATATATGTGCACCCATGTTTTATAGCAGCTAAGTTTATAATCGCCAGATCTTGGAAACAACCTAAATGGCCACTGACTGAGGAATGGATAAAAAACATGTGGTATTTTTATACAATAAAATATTACTCAGCCATAATTAATGATAAACTGGACATTTTTATAGGTAAATGGATATACCCTGAGAACATATTCATCAGTGTGACAAGCTGAAAGAAAAACATATATATGTGTATATGTATATAAAAATAGTTAAGACAGTTATACTACTGATTTCGCTGAGTTCGCTGAAGAGAAAGATCTGTATTGGTATTGTTTGGACAACTGAACACAGATGTCTTGTACTCTGGGTGAATGATTTGGGGATGACAACGTACAATGTATGTACTATTACTACCTCTGACTGATGTGCTTTGAAATTTTATTGTACATTTATGTTTGAATAAAATGGATTTGAAAAAAATAAAGTGCAAAGAAAGAAAAAAGAAAAAAAGATTTTGGTATCTAGTTATCGTAGCAAAAGAAATTCTATATACGGAAAACCACAAAGACCTTACAGAGAATGGACATAGTAACTATATAGAGGAAAAACATGACAGAGCCACGGAACAGCATTTAAGAACTGTGTGTAATTTGACACATCTTGCAGTCAAAAGCATGGGACAGGGAAAAGACTAAGTGGCATACCAGAAATGAGAACCAAAAAAAATGGTCAGTAAAGGTTTGAAATGCCCTGTAAATCAGACTGAGTTGGGTCATCATTTTATTACTTAACATTTTTTTTTTTAAATCAGGGATTGAATTCACTACCTCAGTTACCAAGCAGGCACTTGTGCCATTGAGCTATATCCCCAGCACTTGACTTTAGATTATTTTGTAAAGACTAAGGGGTAGGTCTGGAGGTAAAAACAACATAGTAAGACTAGAAGGAAGAAGATTTTGTCTGACCATAGCGTTACTAACTTTATTTATACAAGGTACACAAAAGCATTCATAGGTTGGTAGGAAAAATAAAAGCAGCTGTGTAATAAGCAAGTAGAGACAAGGCTCATACTTAGGGGAATTACAACAGGTATAATGATTACGTAAGTCACTCATTTCTTATTATCAGTAAATACCAAGAGAAAATTAATCAGTCAACAAAAGAAATAAAATATTATATGTCCTTGCTGTCTTAATAATTTGAAAATTATTTCTTTCTGAAATGTTAAAAAAGCTCTAATTACCTTCACAAAGGATGGTGCTACATTCTGTGTTTCTGCTACTCTTTCAGAGGTGGACTGCAGACGTCGTGTCCTCGATTTCAAAGTTTTAAAACCCCGAGACTGTATAAAAACTAAACAAAATAGTACCATTTACTTTGTAAGTTGCTAAAAGAAACTAAAATGCTTAATTAGGACTCTAAAAAGCTTATCAGTATGTCTTAGTTTATCTTGTTTTTTATATTTCTTTTGCCAAACACTTCAATAATACACTTTACATTTTTTCTATCAACCTTTTTTACAAACAAAAAAAGAACTTTAAATATTTTATTTCATGTTCATGGTAGAAGAGTAAATAGTTATTTCATAGTATAATTTAGAAAACAGGACCACAAAACTGATAATTTTTTTTCTGATCTTTTGTTTTCTTTCTTTTCTGGTACCAAGAATCACTCAAACTTTAATGCTTTTTCTAAAACATGTAGATCATTGAAAGGTAGCAATTCCAGAATTAATTTGGTATTTTCTTGGTAATTACAAAATATTTTAAAGACAAAAAAATGTCAAAAATCAGTGTTTCCTAATTCTTCAAATCTTAATCCAACTTCTTTCCTTAATAGTATATACCTCAGAAGAGGACAGACAGTATATTCCATTTAAATGTCACTTAACAGTTTTCTGTTTTATCTAACTACAACTTACTCAACCATTTTTCACTTATGGGCATTATTCTTTTATTATTATTTTCTTTTTGTTCCTTTGGTCTGAAGATTAAACCCAACATCTCACATATGCTAAGCACATGTTCTACCAACAAGCTACAGACTCATTACCTTTTTATTGCTAAAATCAACATTGTAGTGAACATTTTCATACATCCTTCAACACATGCAGAACAAATTACTAGAAGTGAAACACTAAGAAATTGCCTTTGAAGAAACTGTTATTGTATGTGCCTAGTTATGAACAAGTGTGTTTTCTTCATACTCTCACCAATACTAGGTCATAAAACCTTTTTAATTTACATAAATTTGGCAAAAAAAAGAAAAAATTGGTATCTTAGAAATTCCAGATTAAAACTCTAAGAAAATTTTAAAAAGATCCTTTTGTATTTTTATTTACTATTTTTCTTAAGTGACCATTTATGTCCTTTGCACACTTCACATTTTTATTTCTTTGTAGACTATAGATGTTACAGGTAATAATCTTTTATAGTGCACATATATTTCATATATCCAGTATGTATGGGTATATATTTAGAGAAGTACACTGTAAACATGTTTTAATTATGTTTTTCAATTATATAACACAAGAATGTATATGTTAATGTAACCATACTTTTAAAATATGTAACGTTTTCTCTATTTTTGTCTTGAGTCCCCACTCTCAAACTAAGATTTTTATTTATTTATTGTATTCAAAACTTTAAAATCTGGAATTTATGTTTTGGTACAATATAAAATAAGAACTTATCTTTTTTCCCAAATGGATAGCCAGCTAACCTAACACATTTATTGATAACCTACCCCTTGTTCACTGATTCAAACTCTTAATTTTTTTACATTATAGGCCAGTACCAGTTTAAATTCTGTAGTTTTACAGTTATTCATGATACTATTCTTTTGATTTCTACTGCTAAAAATTATGATTCCAAATTTCTACAAGTCTTCTAGAGATTTTACTAGACATATGCTAACTTTATAAACTTTGACATGAATGGATACTGCTATAATGCCATGCTTTCCCATTCATTTGACATTCTCTTTTGTTTAGAGAATGTCTCTTAGTTCTTTTTGTCAGTAAAGCTTTACATGCACACATGTATATATGTATAAACATATATTTCTTGTCAGGATAAACACTGGATTTTGAACAAACTGTTACTAAAATCTGCTAAAAGAAAGCTGTTGTTTTCATGTATCTATTTGTATGAAAAAAAGTGAACTCACTATCTGAACACCCTTTGATTTTCTGGCAAATACTTGTATGTTCTACAAATTGAAACTTTGCTCCTTCCTTTAATGACTCAATTCTTTCATTAATCATAATGTTCAGAACTCCCAAATCCTGTCTAAAAACAAGGCACTAGCCATCTTGTTTCTCACACTGATGGCAACGTAAGAGATGTTAAGAAATTTTAAAAAGGGTCGGGGATTTGGCTGAGCGGAATAAGCATCTGCCTGGCAAGCACAGTCTTGAGTTCAATCCCCAGTACCGAAAAAAAAAAAAAAAAAAAAAAGAAACTTTTAAAAGGTTTACCCTGTTTCTAACTTTTCTAAGAGTTTTCACAAAACATAGCAATTAAAATGTATCACACAAAATCATAGCATTTTTCGTCTCCAATCAACATGAATTAACAGGTTTACTAGTGTAAAATTATATCTATATTCCTTGATCATTTTTTTTTTAGCACAAGTCTAGACTTGGTTTTGTCAGATTTTACTTAGGATTTTGGTATTTATTAAGAAACTGACATACTGCATTCTTTTTTCTGCTAATGATCAATTTTAGTAACTTTACAACCTAAATAGGGAAGACGGAGGTCTTGCCATGTTGCCCTAAGTAACCGTGAACTCATGGACTGAAGTGATGATCCAACCTCAGCTCCCATAGCAGCCTGGACCAAGGGCACATGCCATTGTGCCCAGCTTTTTACTAAACTTTTAGGGTTGGGACTATAGTTTAGCGGTAAAATGCTTTTCAGCATGGTGTCTCACTATGTACCCTAAGCAGGATACAATCATTCAATTTTTCTGCTTCAGACTACCTAGCAGCTAGTCATAAATACACATACTCACATATAAAGAAAATCTTTTAAACAACAGGAAATTTATCATTCTAGATAAACAATCTAATTATAAAATCATCTGAAGTACTCAGGAGGCTTAGGCAGAAGGATCACTGCGAGTTTGAGGGCAGCCTGGGGTACATAACTGAGTTTAAGGCCACCATGCACTACATAGTGAGACCTTGTCTCAACAAACAAACAAAAATTACCTGAACTTTGGAGTAATGAAGTTTTTAAAAATTATTATTCTTCAATCAACAGTCATTATCCTACCTATTCTTGGGTCAGTTTTGTCAACTTACATCTAATTATTTCAACACATTTTTATTATTTCACATGGTTGAAGCATTGGTGGCACATGCCCAATAATCCCAGCACTCAGGAGGCTGAGACAGGAGGATCACCATGAGTTTGAGGCCAGCCTAGGCTACATAAGCAAGTGTAAGGCCAGCCTGCACAACACAGTAAGACCTTGTCTCAATCAAAACAAACAAACAAACAAAAAAAAACATCAGCACAGCTACATGCAGTGGTACATGCCTAGAATTCCATTTACTCAGCAGACTGGAGCAAAAAGACAAAGTGTGAAGCCAGCATGAGCCACTTAAACAAAATTCCATCTCAAGAATGGGCCAATCCTGGAGCAGATGTGGCTTAACTTTAGGCTACAATTGGCAAAAACCACATTGCAGTGAGGAGTAAATGTGAATGTGCATGTGTCTACGGGAACCTGTCTGGAAATTCCTGGACTGAGCACTGATGACAAACACAAATAGGTTGCTTCAGTCATGAATCACACACACAATTGTAGTGTCATGCTCGTTCACAGTAGTCTGTGATTTGTAGCTCACATACATTTACTACATAGTACTGTTGAAGAAACCCATCTGCTGTGAGTACTGATCACTGCTATCTTGTTTAAAAACAGAAATGGAGATTCTTCACGTTCCTATTTGGGACCGGGGAATTCAGCTCAGTGGCTCAAGCACTTGCCTGCTAAGTGTGAGGTCATGAGTTCAATCCCCCAGTACCAAAAATAAAAAAAGAAAAAAAAAGAAATGGAAGAGAAGGAATAAGACTATTTTTGGCAATCTTTCAACTGTTTATAACCAAAGCTCACTCTTGCTGACTCCAAGTCTAGAGGTTTTCCTGAGTTCTACTAGAATTAGAAACATACACATCTTTCATGACACATGATCCTAAATTCCATGAAGACGTCTTTTTCATTCATAACTATCACTATCACTTAACAACTATTGCTACTGCCTCGCAACCAGTTAATGAATGATGAATATTTCTCTTCTGAATACTTCCTACTCATTCAGAGTACCTGTCTGCCATCTCTCTCTTTCCCCTATCTTCAAATCATCTTTTACATTAAAAAAAATTTTGATGAATAACGAATAAAATTTGATCTTACTCTCAATTTATTTTCACATATTTTAATTTACTAAAACTCTTCTGGTGTTCCTCTAGACTTTTTATCTCCTTTTAATATTTTTTCTTTCATTTCAATGGGCTTTTGATGAGGGCTAGTAAACAAATTTTAGTCAATTATTGTGAAATAGTTGTAGATATATATCTAGGAGCTGGATTTACTATGATATTTGTTACCCACACACAAAATGTATACCTCCTATTATACATTTTCCTGATCTAAAATAACATAGAACTACCTAAACTGATAGATTTCAAACACTCTTTAAGTCCTACTGTCTATTGCAAATGAGTGGTCATAATCACTAGCATCATTAAAACAAATTTTAAAATGTTAAGTAACCTATTACATTTCTCAAAACAATTACAAGTGTTGCTTCATACCTGGCCAGTAATGAAGATCTGAACAAATTCTTTGAAGAGTTCTTGGATGTTGTCGAAACAAGCAAGTGGAACGTAAAGCACTAAACATATCTAAGTGACCCGGAGGGAAATTGTTAAAGGTAAGTTTCCAGCTTTTCCATACCAAAAACATAAAAATCACATGAAATATTAAGAATTTTTATCAACTGCTATGAAAAGTCACAATATTGGCTGGGGATTTAGCTCAGCGGCATAAGCGCCTGGCTTGCAAGCAGGCAGTCGTGAGTTCGATTCCCGGTACCGATAAAAAGGAAAAAGACCAAAAAAAAAAAAAAAAAACCCCACAAAAAACCCCAGAAAAGTCACAATGTAAGTTTCACAACTTTTGGTCTGTGATATGACCTTGCTTTCATAAAAGTATCTAAAGTATCATTAGTTTAAGAGCTCTTCATGTTACACTCACTCACTTAACACATTACTTTTACATCTGATATATAGCTATCATTCTAATCAATAGAGGTATGAGGTATAAATTCTAATCAATACAGGTATAAGGTATATATGTTCAAGTGAAAATTACCTTTAGAACATAAAGATAAGAAATTGCTCTTCGGTAGAGACAATTTCAAAAGCTTTAGTGATAAAAAAAGGCAAACCGGGGCTGGGGATTTAGCTCAGCGGCATAAGCGCCTGCCTTGCAAGCAGGCAGTCGTGAGTTCGATCCCCGGTACCGGAAAAAAAAAGCAAAAAAAAAAAAAAAAAGGCAAACCACAGCTATTGCTATCTTTCCCTTTTCAAGTTTTCATAACCAGTGAGTATGTAAACAGTTCCCTCCAAAGCTGTGAGCATGAATACAGTGATCCTTTCCAACTCCTCCTCTTAAGTAATGTCAACCCTTTCCTACTTTTTAGATGCTAGGGACTTGCTTTGCAGCCAATAAATAGTAGCTATTGTTGATATGTACCAATTAGAATTACATGCTGCAGATTAGAAAAGCAATAATAATATAAATACTAAAAAGTTTATCCTATTGAACACAACACAGAGCAAGCGTTTCAAGAGTTTTATATAAACAATAAAAGGGGGCTGTCAATCTGAGTCCCCAAGCTCAAAACTATTTTTCCCCTCACTCTTGTATTCTTTGTATCTTCATACTGCATGAAAGACCAAAGAAAAGAATTAGCAAATGAATTGTTTATGCAAAGTATAGCTTTGAATCAAATCATCAACTACTCAAACCTTTGAGGAAGCCCCAATATTCCTTATGTGCTATCCAAAAAGATCTTCTGGAAGCTAACCTGACAGACTGCAGTGTAAACCTACTTATTATGTCAGCGTGTTAAAAGCTTCAAAAAGATGCAGACATCTCAAAGAATATTTCTTTATCAATGTATTCTCACTAAGTTTAAATAAGGACAATAAAAAACACATTCTTCCCTGGTCGTGGTAGTGCACACCTGTAATCCCAGCACTTGGGAGGCTGAGGCAGAAAGATCATTGCAAATTTAAGACTAGTCTGGGCTACAAAGTGAGTTCAAGGCTAGCCTGAACTGCAGAGTGAGACCCACTCTAAAAAACAAATGAATAAATAAAACACCTTTTTCTAAATGTGATACAGTATAGTGCTTTAGATCCAGGAACAGAGTATCAACAATAAAAAAAAGTGATTTAAAGAAAATTTTGCTGAAATCCAAACAATTCACACTTAATTAAAAACACTGTTACAAGTCATGGTGGTGCACACCTTATAATCCCAGCACTATTGGGAGACAAGAGGATCCCAAGTTAGAGGCCAGTTTCACAACTAAATAAGTAAAATATATACATATAATATATAAACATATATACTACATATATATCAGTGTGAGTTTGTTTTAATAAATGTACCATGGTTATGGAAAATGTCAAAATTAAAGGGAAGTAAGGTGCAGAGTATACAAAAACCCTTGACACTACCTTTAAAATTTTTCTGTAAATCTAACATTGTTTGAATATGAAAACTTACCAGAAAAAGGAAAAAAAAAAAAAAAACCTTAAGAACCTGGTCCATAGTAAATGCTAATAAATGATTTCTAACTATTTTTTTTTAATAATACTTACATGGCTTAGTTTCATTAGAACCAAAAATATATAAACATACCATATTTATTTTCAAAGAAGGACTGTGCAGAGATATGAGATGTGTGCCAGTGGGAAGAAATACTTTTGCCTCTGTAAAATCCAGGAAGTAGATCTTCTACCAATTGGTCAATCTGTCCAACTTTTAATTCAGACAATCCAAGGTCCCTTAAATTAAGTGCAGGCTGTAAAAGATGAAGTTAACCAAACAGTAACATTATTGAGACACTTGAAGAGTATTTATGACCTGAAAAAATTTTTCAAATCAAAGACATTAATTTCTTAATATTTAAAATATAATTGATAAAAATACTAAGCTCCCCATCAATCAGAGAATGGATAAAAAAGATGTAGTCTTTCTATACAGTGGAGTGCTACTCAGCCATAAAGGACACATGAGATTTTTATAGGTAAATGGATACAACTTGAGACCACACTCATAAGTGAAATTAATCAAACATCATACTGGATCCCTTGCATAAGAAATCAAAAGAGTAAAATAAGGTCTAAAATATACAATAGATACTGTGAAATGGGAAGAAACTGTTCAAATGGAAAAAGAAAAAGGTTGGGGAAAGAGAAAGGATGAGAGGTAAAAGGGGAAAGATGCAAGTCAGTTGTACTATTAAGATTCTCTTAGCTCATTAAAAAAGGAACGTATGTGCTAATACTGGAGAAATTTTATACCCATATCTTATACTTTGAGTAATTACTTTAAAGATAACACCAGGTAATGTATTAACTATTCCTATTCTATTATTTTGCTACAAAATTGTGTTATTTTTTCTATAAAATAAAAATAACATATATCCTTAAGTTCTAGTTTCACTGAGGTCCTGTGAAGTTTGAAAAAGGCTGAAAAAGTATATCCCTAACGGTATTCTTAAATAAGAAAATGACATTTCAGTATGAATGAGGAAAAAATGTACCTTTTTATTCAAATCAGTATCATCATTGAACTAAGCATTATAATTCACAAATGAGGTTAAGTGTTTTACAGTTTCCCCTTCTTATCACTTAAGGTACTCTCACTTAGTGTTAATTCATCAACAATCAGCCAAACATTTATAATGACTGTGGATGCAGCTCAGTAATAGAGCACCTGCCTAGTGTCCTGTGATGAAAAAAAACAAGAGGAGGGTTGGGGGGTGCGGATACAAAGGGAAAAGAAACTTAAAAGTTACTGTTTTTCTTTGTTATACTACTGAGAAATGAACCTAGTGCTTCCCATTGAGCTATGTTCCTAGCCCTTTTGTAATTTTTTGAGAGAGGGTCTCTACATCTTTAAACTGCCCAACTAAGCTTCAATTTGTGATTCTCCTGCCTCAGCCTCCCAGTATGCTGGTATCACTGGTGTGGCACCACTGCTGCCACGAAGTTTTACTTTGTTATGTTTTATTGTTACCATTCTGGAGTGGATGTTTGGGTAAGCAGTGCCTGATGAAAGCAAAGAAGTCATCACATAGCAAAGAAAGTAAGATCAACTAGGGTGTTCAGCAATATGAAAGGTTTTGACATAACATGGTACTTTCCAAAGACAAATACAAGGACTAACGAGGTCCTGAAGGACATCAATCTGTGTTTCACACCATTAGTCTTATATTGCACCCAGGCTTCTAGTTACTTTTCAAGCACCAAAAATGCCCTTTAACATCAACTCAGCAATTTCACTTGATAAAATAAAGATTTACCAATGAAGGATGGAAACAATGGTATTGTTTCTGGCAACAACAACAAAAAAGAAATAATACCTGTTATAGTCAGGGGTTGTGCAGAAAACAATTAGAATCAGGACACGGAGTTTCTAATATTATTTCTGTGATGGTCACTCACAGTTAACACAAGAAAATGCAGGAAATCTATCCACGACACCAAAGACATAGAATATTTAGCCCAGGGCCCGAATTCCACAGCAATGTCTCACATGAGTCCAGATGAAAACCCAGAGCTCACGACAGTGTCTCCCAAGAGTCCAACTGGAAGAACATGGCGGATAGATAGCAGCAGCCTCGGAGGGTCTCTGAGAAACCGCACTTGAAATCTAGGAATGGTGCCGGGCAGGAAGCCCTAGGCAAGGAGGGAAATTCTTTGCCGACCCAGGAATGAACTAAATTAAGAGAAACCAACTGGAAACGTAATCCCAGTGATACAGCAGGAACAGATAAGGTCTCAGCATGGAAGCCGGGCCCCACGTTACTGGAAACTGTGATTTGAATTACCTGCAGTAGCTGTTGCGTCCCTGGTCCCTGTCAGCACAGCGGGGAGAGAGGCGTGAGAGCTTGGAGAATGAGAAGCATCGGAAGGACTTGGGAGCGGGACTGGCCGGGCGCCCTGCATCAACCTGCGGTGAGTGAGCAAATTGGGACCCTTCCATAGAGGAGGCTTCAGCGGAGGACATACTCGGACTGGGCAGACTTCCCAGAACGAGATGCTGCACTGACTTCAGTCACATATCTCCCTCTCAAGCGGGATTGGTGGGGAGTGCCTGGCCTGCGAGATGCCGCTGGCTGAGACCCAACAGGCTAGCCCAACTCAGGTCCCAGTGCCTGGAGGTGCACCCTAGCCGTGAAGCCTTTGGTAGGTTGACCTGGAGGGGCAGGCCCGGCATAGACTGCCCAGGTCTGTGTCTCCCTGGTGCCGTTGCAGTGGGCGGGAACACCTAGCCGACGCAACTCAAACAGATTGTGGCGGACAGGGAAGGAAGTTGGGCCTCCTATAAATGCTTAAATATAAGGAACAAAGAATATGGGAAGAGGGAGCAACAAGAAAGGGTCCTCAGCCTCCAATCCTGAGAAACATGCAATAGCAGACACGGCACCAATAGACATAAAGCGCTATCTCCAGAGCCTCATAGACAAGTTCAGGAATGAAGTTATTAATGACCTGAAACAAGACATAAGCAGAATAGTTAGAGAAATGCTAAGCACTGCCCAAGAAAAAACAGATGGTACAATGGAAGAACAGAAAAAAAGGGGAGAATTGTCTGATGGAGAAAATAGAGAAAACATAGAATACGTAAAACAGGTTCAAAGAGATTACCAGGAAACTAAAAACTCTATCGAAAACTGGCATAACAGCTTGAAAGAAACTAAGGACAGATTATCTGAACTGGAGGGCAGATTTGTAATATGGGAGCATGAAATGAAAAACTTCTTAAAAATAACAAAAAAACAAACAGCAACAATACAAAAACTAGAAGATGATAAGAGGATCTACAACTTAAGAATTAAGAACATAAGAGAAGAAGTGGGGACACAAACAAATGGACTACAAAAACTATTCACAGAAATAATCCAATAGAGTTTCCCTAATTTAGCAAATGGTAAAGATACTCAGATATATGAGGCATACAGGACTCCAGCCACCTACAACCCAAAAAGAGCTATACCCAAGCATATAATAGTCAAAATTCCAGAAATCCAATATAAGAGCAGAATATTGAAGGCCGTCAGAGACAAGAAACAGATCACTTACAAGGAAACACCCATCAGAATTACAGCAGACTTCTTGGCACAAACCATCAAATCAAGAAGAGCGTGAGGGGAAATAATTCAAGCTTTGAAAGATAATAACCTCCAGCCAAGATTGATATATCCTGCACAACTGTCCCTAGAAATTGATGGAAAAATAAGGTGCTTCCAGGTTAAAGAGGAACTAGGGGAATTTGCAACCACTAATTCAACTCTACAGAGAATACTGCAGGATAGTCTAAAAAAGGAAAATACCAAGATTCCAGAAATAGTGGCAGAGAGGCTACAATGAATGGAGCAGAAAACAAAATGAAGAAGACAAGCTGACCACAAACGACAGAAAAAGAGCTCAACAGAAATGAGGCAGAGAAGATAGGAAGGTAGAAACAGCTATTTTGGAGAAAACAAGACATCATAATAGCTAGTGCTGATTTAGTATCATCTGGCTTTGAAGTCCCATCAAACTGGTATTCTTCTGTCTCCATTGGTCTTAAAAGGTTGTATCTTATTGGATTTTATTATGTATGATAATATAAGCAAAAACTTTTATAGACAAGGAGTTTATATAGAAATCATTGTTCATTTTCTGTTAATTGGTTCTAAATACCTGCAATAATGTCATTCTCTTGAATGGTTTTATAGTGTCTTGATATGTTTGGTACTACAGTATAAGAAGTTATGCTCAAAGAATTCAAGAAAAGAGACACTATGGTAACTATTTTTATGTCAGGATATCTTGTGGTGAAACACTATTATGCCTAAATGGTTATGTTTTGACCTGCGCTGTTCTGTTGTTATGCCCTCTTTTATCTCAATCCCTTTTTTTAAAATTATTTACTTTTTTCTTTTTATTTTTTAATTAAGGGAAAAATAAATAAAAAATAGCAGGATACATTATAGTAACCTACTTTGATTTCCTATTAACTTGATTTGAAATCATGTATTGCCCTCACCATCTTGTTTTGACTGATTTTCCTCTATTCTGCTTTGCTTGATAGTACCAAGTTCGAAAGTATAGGCAAAACTGTGAAGACAATAAGAATCATTATGATGCCCATTCCGGTTGACTATTATTTTTTTTTAAAGTCCTGTAATGTCTCCAATGCTTTGGTTTTATTCTTTACTGTTTAGTTCAATTTTATTATAACTGCCAATTCTTCTTAAAATAGCAAGAGGCAGTATGGTAACCATTGTTGATCAACTTATATTTTGTTTTTACATTATCTATTATGTGCATCCTTTTGATTTGACTGACTCTGTTCTGATATGTCGCATTTGGTTTTACTCTCTTCAAAAAAAGTAAATAAGAACTGTGGGAGTAATAAAACCCAAAATGTGTAATTGTCATTGTACAAAAGAAATGAAAAGAAAAGAAAGTGCTCTAAAGGTTGTAACTGCATATATGTTTAAGTGTATAAGATAGATAACCATATTACTGAGTGTTTTTTGGATCATTGAACAAAACTGTTTTCACTCTCACTGTCTGAAGGTCCACTTTATATGCTTCAGTTTTGGAACTTGAACAACTATTTCTAAGATGATAATATGTAATCTATTAACTAGTGATTTCTTACTGTTTATTTTTTAAATTTTGTATTATTTGTACCCTTTTTCTGTTTTTTTCCTTTTTCTCCTTAAAAAAAAAAAAAAAGAGTCCAACTGGAGGTCCAGAGCCCACAAGAAGGATTCACACCAGTCTCTTTTACAGATTTGTGCTGGGAAGGCCCAAAGGTCAGCGGTGGAAGCTAGAAGAAAATTCTATGCCAGCGGGATAAAGGAGCTATGCTGGTAGGTTGAGGGTTCCACAATGGAGATGAGAAGTCACACTCACAACAAAGACCAGAGCTGTCCTGAAAAGCACCACGGCCATCCTCAGCGACACAGAGGCCCTGAGCTCTTCTGACCATAAGCACAGTCAGGTACATGCCAGGAATCCAGCAAGACGAGTCCATCCTGGAGACCAAGTAGCACACGTCTTTCTCTCCGGAGCCAGGAAGCAATGCTCAATGTGAGGGCCAGAGGTTCTCCAGGAGAACCAATGGCTCAAACAGCAACATGTAGGAGAACCCACAATGCTTCAACACCTCAACGCCTCAACGCTTAGTTTCTCCTTTTCCACGTCTCTATTTATGCTGGCAACTTTCCTCAGATGGGACAGCTACACTCAACACCATGCTGATGTAATCCAGCTGGCGTTAAGTTGACCACCAGTTTTTAATCCATAACAATACCCAACATAAGACATCACACCAAGTTTATACTACAGTCATTAAAACTACTAAAAATGAGCTGGGTGACGGCCGGGTGTGGTGGCTCACACCTATAATCACAGCACTTGGGAGGCTGAGGCAGGAGGATCATTGTGAGTTGAGATCAGCCTGGGCTACAAAGTGGGCTCAAGACCAGCCTGAACTGCATAGCGAGACCCTGTCTCAAAAAGACAAAAAAAAAAAAAAAAAAAAAAAAAAAGCTGGGTGCAGTAGCACATGCCTGTAACTCCAGGTGCTTAGGAAGTTGAGGCAGGAGACAACTGCTGGTTTGAGGCAACAAAGGCAAACCCCATCTCAAAAAAAAAAAAAAATCAATAAATAAAAATATAGAAAATACATAGCATAAACAATTTCATAGAGAGTTCTAAATGAACAAACAGGAATTCAAATCAACCTGTAAGGGCTAGGGGAGTAGTTTAGTGATAAAGTGCTTTCCTAGCACAATCAAGGCCCTGGATTCAAACCTCGTGACACAAAAAACTTTAAAATTTTAAATATCAGCATGTACAGTCTAATTTAACTATCACCAAGTACAAAAAGATAAACAGACCTGAAAATAAATGTAAAATGTTAACAGCATTATCTCTGGAGAGTACAACCACAGAGTAATTTTATTTCACCTACACTAATATTTTCCAAAATGTCTAGTGAGCGTAATTCTGCTGCATGTAGCATTTTTTTTTTTTTTTTTTGATACCAGGGATCCAACCCATGACCTTGTGCTTGCCAGGCAGCTGCTTATGCTGCCCAGCTGTACATAGCAATTTTGACATATGTAACACTCCTGATCTGCAATCTCCCTCCACTCTATTATCCCACTACACAACATGCAATACGTTATTTTGAGAGAAACACCACATTCATACAATTTTCATTTTACTACACTGATTTAACTACTCTATTTTATGAGTAGTTGTGTTTTGAGGATTTTGTTTTTTGAGATTAGGTCTCACTATGTAATCCAGGCTGGCATTCCATTGGTGGCAATCTTCCTGCTTCAGCCTTCTGAGTGCTGGAATGGTAGGCATGCACCACCACACCACCCTGCACTTGGACTGTAATTTGAGTGAAGGGTGTCAGAACAGCAGAGAGACAATGGACTGCCTATAGAAAAACAATGGTAAGGGGCTGGGGATTTAGCTCAGCAGCATAAGCGCCTGCCTTGCAAGCAGGCAGTCACGAGTTTGATCCCTGGCACAGATAAAAAAAAAAAAAAGAAAAAAGAAAAACAATGGTAAACAGGCAAATAGAAAAAAAAAGACAGTGTAAAGATGACAACCTTTTCATCTAATCACAATTTTTTTTCTAAGACAGGCCTTAAAAAGTACCTAGAATTCACTTTCTACTATTCCTCCACTGTCCTCTGCCAGAACTCCTGACTTCAGAATTAAAAGCATCAGGTTAAAGAGGCTGTTCAGAACCTCAACTATTATACTATCTTTTCTTTTCTTTCTTTTTTTTTTTTTTTTTGGTCTTTTTCGTTTTTATTAGTACCAGGGATCTAACTCACACTTGCAAGGAAGGCACTTATGCCGCTGAGCTAAATCCCCAGCCCCCATAGTATCTTTTCTTAAAAACATATTCTGGGGCCAGGGATTTGGCTCAGTGGTGCAGTGCTTGAAGCCTGAGGTCCTGAGTTCCATTCCCAGTACCCTCCTCTCCCCCTGAAATAGACCACATTCAGAGTTTGTAAGTAACTACCTTAATTGGAAACAGGAAGGTTCTTAGGTTCATAATTCCCCATATCCCAGAAATCACTGGATTTCTAATCATATGAATACTGAAAGTACAGTTTTCTACCTTGTGTATTTTACTTTCAAACACCTAGACTAAGCCAGATGTGGTGGCACACACCTGTAACCTGAACACTCGGGAGGCTGAGGCAGGAGGATTTCTGGGAGTTTGAGGCCAGCCTGGGCTACAAAGTGAATTCAAGGCCAGACTGAACTGCATAGCGAGACTGTATCTCCAAAAGAAAAGAAAAAAATTTTTAACAAAACCTAGATTAATCTACTCAAAGCTTCTGAGAGTTAGCAAATGATGTCTTACTATACTGACTTCCTTGAGACTTGGAAGGTAATAGTAGTGAGTTACTCATGAGCAATAGGTAGTGATAGCTGGCTGATATTTCAACAAACAATATTATAAATTATCGCATCAGAAAGACTTCCTCACACAACCAGGGTAAAAACTCTTACCTCACTGCCAGCAGCCTCATGTTCTGGAACTACATCTCGATGCTTGTTTGGAGAAACTGATGCACTGACTGAAACAGTCACGGGTTTTGGTGAATGGAAGGCACTGATAAGATGACTGAGAGGAACTGTAACCTAGAAAAAAAGAAAAGTTTTAATTAAGTAGCATATGTTTTTAAATCTCCTTTGTGTTGTCAGAATTTAGGATATGTTGAAAGTTAAAACTATGGACCCCCAAGTGGCCTGGAGCTGCCTGCACTCTGCCTTGAGAGCCAAAAGCCCCCGGAGAGATCTCTATCCCCTTGAGCAGCCTGTGCACATCACTTGGAGACTGGGAGGACTGTGCAGCATCCCCCATCACTAGAGGATCCTCAGGAAGGTCCCTCCGGGTCTACTTGGGGTTCGCCCAATAACCCCAAGTGGCTGGGAGCCACCTGGTAAGGTATGTCTAAGGACCTACACTCAACTGGGGAAATTCCTGCAGTAGAGATAGATGTTCTCAACCCAGGAAACAACTGAGGGCTGGAGATTTAGCTCAGTGGCTTAAGTGCCTGCTTGGTAAACATGAGGTCATGAGTTCAATCCCCAGTACTTTAAAAAAAAAAAAAAAGAGAGAGAGAGAAACAACTGAGACCTTGCCTTCAGCTTCCCTAAGGGAATATAGGAAAATCACAAAATGAAAGCGCAAAATGTAATTTCAACCTCCAGCCCATCCCAGGCAAGCCTAGGAGACACGGACATAGAAGAAAATGTAAGCCATACACCTGAAACTCGAAATAATAGCAAGTAAAGTAAAGAAATAACTCCAGAAAGCTATAAAGGAACTCAACTCAGAAATAATCTCCTAGGTAAAAGAAATGATGGCCACATCTAAAGAAGACATAGTTTAAAAATAGAGGAACCTGTACAAGGATGTAAACCTTCAATGAATATAAGAAACAAACAGAATGCATGAAACAGATTCAAAGAGATATCCAGAAAACCAAACTTCCATCAAAAGTTGGGAAAACCCCCTCAATGAAAGTGAAGATAGACTTTCAGACTCCAAAGACAAGACTGCAGCTAGTGAACAGCAAAGGAAAGATCTTTTAAAAATAACAAGAAGTCAGGAAATAACAATTCAACAGCTACAAGATGATGCACAGAAAAACAACATAAGATTGATACATATAAATGAAAAAGGTAACAACACAAATGATATTAAGACTACTTATACAATAGCCGAAAATTTCCCAAATTGGAATGGAAACTGAACATACAGATAAAGTGAAGCATACAGCACTCCAAATAGTCAAAACCAAAATAAAACGATACCTAGACGTATAATAATCAACATCCGAAAAATTCCACATAAGAACAGAATATTAAAAGCTGTTAGAGGGCCCGCCCCTCCGCAGTAGGCTGGCCCAGCAGGCCTGGGTTGCCTGGAACTGCCTTCACTGGGCCTGACCCTCAGCTGTGAAAATCTGAGAAGCCCCAGCAAGACCTAGCCACCTGGGACTGCCGCCACTGGGCCCATCCCTTACCTATGAACACCTGGGATGCCCCAGCACAACCTAATCACTTAGGACTACCACTGTGGGCCCATCCCTTAGGGAAACCACCCACCTCCTGGACCTAGTACTGCAGAGGATCTTTGGATCCAACCCCTTCTCCCAGAACCTTGGACTACAAGGAAGTACAGTGCTGGATGGATGGGAGACTCAGGAACCCCTTACCCAAACAGAAGACCTCAGCAGGCTCCAGTCAGTGTGGTGAGTATGCTCCTAAAATAGAGATCTGCAGAGGGTAAATAAGAGTAGAAGTGAAACTCCCTCTAACTATAAGACCTTGACAAACCTGGCAGGAGAGTGGGAATCCCCTCCTCCATACAGATAACATCAAACAGATTGAGGAGTGAGCCAATAAGGCCTCTGCCAACTTGCAGAAAATTAAAAGAGCTTATGAGACCTCCAGTGACACAGTAGGGCCTCAGCTGACACAAATACTATAGGCAGGGAGAGCTGCTGACCTGCAACAACCTGAAGACATAGCAACAGCAGGAACCAAGAGTTGAACTACATCAATACTGCTAGGCTAGTTAGCCCAGAAAGAATATAGGACTCACCCAACAGGCCCTGTAGGAGGAATTCAGGTGACTGGCTCTCCTCTACATTGTCTTATCCAACAACTGGACAAACGACACCTGCACAGTAGGACCCAAAAACTCATACTATAGACAGTTGAAACTGTTCAGACTGAAAGACCAAATATTTATCCAAAAGGTAAAAATAACAAAACAAAAAGGCAAAGTGTAATCTCAAACATCTAGTCCATCAGGAGCAAGTCCAGGCAACACTGAAATAGAGGACTATAAAAAAGTCATACACCAGGAACCTCTGAAAAGACAGCAAATGAAGCAAAGAAACAAATCTATGAGACTACAGAGGAAACCAAATTAGAAATAATGTCTTATGTAAAGACAGAAGTAACCTTAGTAAATAAATTGCTCAACATAGTTAGACAAGAAATAGACAAAAAAAAAAATACAGGAGCTTGGGAAATTGATTGAAACTTTGAATGAACAATGCAGAAAACAAGCAGAATCCATGAAACAAATTCAAAGAGATAGCCAAGAAACAAAAACTATTGAAAGCTGGCAAAACCATTTAAATGAAGCTGAGGATAGAATTTCAAACCTGGAAGACAGGATCACAGATAGAGATCATAAAAAGGTAGAACTTAAAAAAACAAAGCAGCATGAAATGACAATCCAGCAGCTTCAAGATGATGCCAAGAGAAACAATATAAGTCTAATAGGCATCAGTGAAGATGCAGGATTCAATGCAAATGACGTAACTAAACTATTCACAGAATAGCAGAAAATTTCTCACAAATAGGGAAAAAAATGTGATATAGAAATAAGTGAGGCATACAGAATGCCAAACAGTCACAATCAACATAAATCTACACCCAGACATATATCTCAAACATATAGCATAGAAAAAGGACACTAAAAAGCTGTTAAAGAAAGCCTATTAGAAATACGGCAGACTTTTCAGCACAAATTTTCAGGTTAAGACGAGCTTGGAGTGAGGTCCTGATGGGTTCACAGCTGAATTCTGCAAGAAATTTAGAGACGATTTGATGCCAATACTCCTTAAACTCTTCAATAAAATGGAAAAGGAAGCAATCCTCCCTAAATCATTCTTGGAGGCCAGTATTACTCTCATACCAAAACCAGAGAAAGACCCAACCAAAAAGGAGAGCTATAAGCCAGTCTCACTAATGAACACTAATGCAAAGATTCTCAATAAAATACTGGCAAAGAGAATGCAGCAAGTCATCAAGATTATACAACACGACCAAGTGGGATTCATCTCAGGAATGCAGGGATGGTTTAACATACGCAAATAAATAAATGTAATACACATCAATAGAGCCAAAAACAAAAACCACATCGTCATCTCAATAGATGCAGAAAAATCTCTCAATAAAGTCCAATACATGTTCATAATAAAAACCCTTCAGAAACCCAGAATACATGGTGCCTACCAAACCTTAAAAAGGCCATCTATGACAAACCAACAGCCAACATTATACTAAATGGACAAAAACTGAAAGCTTCACACTAAAATCAGGAATAAGACATGGATGTCTACAATCACCACTCCTATTCAATATAGTTCTGGAAACACTAGCCAGAGCAATCAGACTAGAGAGAGAGAAATAAATAGAATAAAGATAGGAAAGGAAGAAGCTAAATTATCACTATTTGCAGATGACATGATACTCTATATAGAAGACCCCAAAAATTCCATTAAAAGACTAATAAACAAATCAGCAGTGTACCTGGATACAAAGTCAATACTCAAAAATCAACAGCATTCCTGTACACAAAAAGCCCAATTATGGAAATATCATCCTTCACAAAACATCTAAAAAAATGAAATACTTAGGAATCAACCTAAGAATGTAAAAGACCTATATGCTGAAAATTATACTACGCTAAAAAAGAAGATTGAAGAGGACATTAGAAAATGGAATGATATTCCTTGCTCTTGGCTAGAAGAATCAACATTGTGAAAATGGCCATACTCCCAAAACTCTTACACAGATTTAACGCAATTCCAATCAAAATACCAAGAGAAAACACGTCTAAAATTCATTTGCAAACAGAAGAAACCCAGAATTACAAAGGCAATTCTGGACAACAAAGGCAAGGCAGGAGGCATCTCAATTTCTGACTTGAAACTATACTACAAAGCCACAATGATAAAATCAGCATGGTACTGGCAAAGAAATAGACCTGAGGATCAATGGAACAGATTAAAAGATGTGAGCACAACCTCAAAGACACTCGGCCACCTGCTATTTGACAAAGGGGCTAAACATGTTCATTAGAAGAAGGATAGCCTCTTTAATAAATGGCGTTGGAAAAACTGGCTGTCTACATGCCCAAGACTTAAACTAGATCCATGCCTATCACCATGCACAAAACTAAAGTCTAAACGGATCAAAGACCTAAATGTTAAAATAGAAACACTAAATCTACTGGAAGACAAGGTAGGTAGAAGTCTTGGAGACATAGGGAGAATTCATGAACAACACGCAAACTGCACAGGAAACACTTCAAAGAAATCACCAACAGAGTAAAAAGAAAAACCTACAGAATGGGAAAGAATTTTAGCCAACAACCCCTCAAAGGACTTATATCCAGAACGTATAAAGAACTGAAAAACATCAAGCCCCCCAAATTCAAAGATCCTCTCTAAAAATGGGCATTTGAGATGAACACACATTTCTCAGGTGAAGACATACAAATAGCAAATAAATACATGAAGAAATGTTCACCATCACTGGTCATTTGAGAAATGCAAATTAAAACAACATTTACATTTCATATCACTCCGGAAAGAATAGCTGCCATCAAGAAATCAACTGATAACAAATGTTGGCAAGGCTGTGAGGGGAAAAGGAACACTGCTCCACTACTGGTAGGAGACTAGACTGGTGCAGCCACTATGGAAATCAGTATGGAGAATTCTCAGAAGACTAGGATTGGAAGTTCCATTCAATCAAGCTATTTCCCTCTTGGGTATTTTCCCAGAAAAACTGAAAAGGTCATATCACAGTGATATATGTGCACCCATATTCATAGCAGCACAATTTGTAATAGCTAAATCTTGGAAACAACCAAGATGCCCATCAACCACCCCGAGTGGATGAAAAAGATGTGGTATTTTTATGCAATGGAATATTACTCAGCTATAAAAAGGATGATCTTGAGGCCTTCATAGGCAAATGGAGACAACCTGAGGCTATCCTTATTAGTGAAATAAATAAGGATCATATTTATAAATATCACATTGTATCTCTAGTATAAAAAGTAATAAGAAATGTAGGAGTAATAAAACCCAAAATGTGTACTTGCGCTTATAAAACAGAGAGGAAAAGAAAGTGTTCCAAAGGATATAACTGCATGTATGTTTAAGTGTATAGGATTGATAACCATATTACTAAGTTTTTGTTGGATAGCTGAACAGAACTGTTTGCAGTCTCACTGTATGAATGCCCACTTTGTATGCTTTACTTTGTAACTTGAACAACTATTTCTAAGACAATATGTAATTATCAACTAGTGATTTCTGTTTATTTTTTAAAAATTATGTATTATCTACTTTTTCTGGTTTTTTTAATTTAAAAAAATAAAGTATTGCTGATGATTCATGGGGGAAAAAAAACTGTTACAGAGAAGAGACAAATCACCTATAAAGGAAAGCCCAGCAAAAGCCCAGCAGACTTCTAAACACAAACAATGAAGTAAAGAAGAACACGGAATGAGGTATTTCAGATCCTAAAAAAAACTGACTTCTAACCCAGATTGATGTACCCTGAAAAACTGTCCTTCAAAACTGATGGAAAAATAAGATATTTCCATGACGAAGAACTTCATAACCACCAAACCAACTCTGCAAAGAATATTGAAAGATATTCTAGATAAACATAAAATATATAACTTCAAGAATGCCAACAAGAAAAAAAGCACTAAGCCTGGCAAACAAATAGAGGGTAAAAGTAAAGAATCAACAGCAGAAAGATAACACAACAAAAATAAACCTATATATATATATATATACATTTATATATCAGTTATAACCGTTAAAGCAAATGGACTCAAGTCACCAATTCAAAGAAATAGACTGGTGGAATGGATCAAGAAACAACATCCAATCATATCATGTACATCTAGTCCAAACGGAAACTCATAGACTGTAAGTCAAAGGATGGAAAACAATACTTCATGCAACGGGAACTACCCACCAAAAAAAAGCAAGGGTAACTACTCTGTTTGCAGACAATGTGAACTTCAAATCAAGAATGATCAAAAGAAAAAGAAAATCACTACGTACTAGTTAGGAGAAAACTTCAAGTGGAAGAGATAACAATCTTAAACATCTATGCAACAAATTCGGGAGCACCAGCTATATAA